TCAGGAAGAAGATTTATCAAATCAGTTAAGGGGCTTCTCTCTATCCGAACGGGAAGCAACCTTCATTGATATAGCCAATGACGACATTAAGCTGAGTGCTGATGAATGCAATAGGAGTCTCTTTGGTAAAATAGTAGGAGACAGAGTAGCTAGCTGGATTGGGGTTAAAAGAACGATGAAAAATATTTGGCGACTCAGTCATCCGATGGAGATAAAAGAACTCACTCCAAATTTTTTCCAATTTATCTTTCAAACCCGAGAAGATTTGGAGAAAGTTGCAAACGACATCAACTGGAGTTTTGAGAACCAATATCTCGTTCTGAAGGAATAGAGGAGGGGCATTTCGATCAAGCATCCATGCTTCCAAGAGCTTAACATATGGGTACAGGTAACAAATGTCCCTTTGAATTGGTTAAGCACCGAAGTAGGACTTAAAATTGGGAAAGTTTTTAAAAACGTCAAGAATGTGGTTCTGACAAATGCGAGTAATCATGGTGGTAAGTTATTGAAGTTGCTGGTAACTCTGAATTTAGAAGAGCCTATTCCTAGAGTTGCAAATATAAGGCTTGGAGAGGAAGCAGCTCAGGTGGGGTTCAAATATGAAAAATTGTTGAATCTTTGCCATTATTGTGGACTGATTGGCCATTTGGAAAAAAGTTGTTCCAAACGAATTGAGGACATCAATAACCATTGTTTGAAAGAAGGACAGTATGGTGACTTCCTTAAAGCTTTAGAAGGAATTAAAAACTTCGACCATATTCCTTCAGGGTCTAGAAGATCTCCTCCACCAGACTCACCAACTGTTAATGCTCAGGAATGTCCATTCAAAACTTCATCCCAGCAAGCAGAAACTAGTCAACAGCTTATCCAATTACCAATGGATTCTCAGTCCCATTCAAAAGAGAAAGGTCAAGACTCCAAAACTTCAGCAACTCCAAATCCTATCTCCCATGAAGCTATTCAAGGATCTTGTGTTCAAATTTTTGAACCAAGCAGAGCAATGGAAGTTGAGACAACTATCCACTGTACCTCCTCAATATTCAAAAGAATCCATGATTCTGTAGCAATTACAGAAGCTTCTCCACTAAAGACATGGAAGAGGGATAAAAGCAAGACTGGGAGGCTTCTCAGAGAATCTCAAAATCCTGTTAACTCCAATCCTGTCTTATCTTTGAAGAGGATCAGAGGGCCAGAAGAAGTTATGGAAACCTAGCTTAATACCCAACAAGAAGCACATCATTCCATTCCTGTGAGCAGGAAAAGTAAACAACAAGCAGATAAGGTGGAGGCTGCCAGCCTGGAGTGGCACCACCATGACCAATGTTAGCTGTGGTGTTGAATTGTAGAGGGCTGGGTGGGCCCTCTACAGTTTCCCAAATGCGAGAGCTTATTAAAGTTCATCACCCACATTTTTTCTTCCTTTCTGAGACAAAAAAGCAAAATTCCTTTGTTAGATCTATCAGTTGTAAATTAGGGTATGTTGATAGAGTTAAAATAGTTAATCCCTCAGGTCTCAGTGGGGGTTTAGCATTATTTTGGGATTCTAATGTTGTAATTCATCAGCTTATTAGTAAAGACTTTTTTATTGCAGTGCAATTTTCTATTTCTTCCAGTCAACCCCTTTGGGGTATTTTTGTGTATTTAAGTCCTTGTAGAAGTATGAGAGGTGATCAATGGGAAATACTTTTATCTGAGAAGCAGGTTTGGGGCAACTCTTGGTTTGCTATTGGTGACTGGAATGAAATTTATTCATCAGCTGAGAAAAAAGGGGGCTTGCCTAAAAGTCCTGCTAGTCTTCAGGCCTTCAACTCTTTTATTGATGAAATGGAAATGGCAGAGGTCAGAATACAGGGATATCCATATACATGGTGCAATAATAGAGTTGGCTCAGAACTGGTTGAGGAACATTTAGACAGAGCTTTTGGCTCCATGGAGTGGCACCAATCTTATGTCAATGCCTCAATCACCAACATCATTCGAAGTTCTTCAGATCACTCAGCTTTGCTCTTTAATCTTGGACTGCCTAAAGACAAGAAACAATCTAGATTCCACTTTGATAAGAGATGGATAGGTAGAGAGGGTTTTGAAGAAACAGTGAGGAAGGCTTGGCAAACTCCAGTCACAAGCACACCATTCTACCAACTCAAAGAAAAAATCAGACTTACCAGAATAGCTTTGCTCAAATGGAGCTCCTCATTTCAGTCTCAAAATCAGGCTCTTATTGCT